AACCAAGGAGCAGGTATAGAGGAAACTAAGGTGAATATTGCTAAGTGAAAGAAAACAGTCTGGAAAGTGTACCTACTATGTGACCCAAGCATGTGACCTTCTGGAAAAAGAAAAACTCTGAGGACAGTGAAACGATCAGTGGTGGCAGGTGCTGAGGGGAGGTGGAACACAAGATGCTAAGTGGCCCTGTGTGTGACACTGTAATAGTGGATACAGGACACTATACATTTGTCCAAACCCACAAAATGTGTAAAACCGAGAGAACCCCTCAAGTAGGCTATGGACTTTAGATAATAATATTGCATATATATTGGTTCACTGATCATAACAAATGTCACATACTAATGTTTAAGATGTTAGTAATAGGAGAAGTTGTGCGTGCGTGTGTGTGTGTGTGTGTGTGTGTGTTGGGGGGATTATGGTACCTCTATACTTTCTGCTCAGTTTTCCTGTGTAGGTACAACTGAACTAAAAAATAAAGGCTTTTTTTTTTTTGAGATAGGATCTTGTTAAATTGCTCGGGCTGGCTTTAAACTCTCAATCCTCCTGCCTCAGCCTTCTGGGCACCAGGATTATAGGCGTGTGCCGTTCCACCCGGCTAAGTAGAAAAAGGAGCTTCAACTTCTTTTGGTGGAAAGCTAATAAAAGTGTACTATAGTAGGATTAATAACCTCTGTTTCAACCGGATGTGGTGGCACACGCCTATAATCCCAGCACTCTGTGAGTTCAAGGCCAGCCAGAATTACATAGCGAGACCCTGTTTCAAAAAGCCAAAAAAACCTGTTTCTCAAAACACACCATTAAGAAGCAGGCAAAAAAACATTGAGGAAATAGGCAAATGGGAGTGATCTAGCATAGAGGGTGAAACTGGTCATGTTGGAGAAGGGCCAGGCACTGGGTCTTCGCCACTGAGCAGACCACTCAACACTGAGCCACCAAGGATGAGAGAGGCAGGAGGGACAGCCCAGCTCTTAGACTCAGGCAGGCGGAGGAAGATGGGGCTTCCGCTCTGTGCTGGCTCTCACCCCCACCCCACCCCCACCCGTCCCAGGTCTCTCCCAATGCCATGGTTTTCAGGCCTTCTTTCACCCTTACTCCCAGCTCCGTGGGGTGGGTGGAAGAGGTTTTATTATTGCTGCTCCCAAATATAGAGGCCAAACAGAGGCTTGTACTTTCACGGGGCCACAGAACCAGACCCAGCCCGGACACTGCTACGGCCTGTGTCCAGCCTGCTGAGTCCCAACCTGGGATGCTATGTGTCCATGGCAGCCAGCAGGGTGCCTGGGCTGGGCCTGCATTCAGGCGTGGGGCATGGCTGCTCTCAACTCGCCCTCCTCACTTTGCCCCTCTGAAGATGATGGGCTCTGGCTTCCCGCTCCTCCTCCCCACTCAGCCCTGAGAAAGCTCCGTTACTCCCTCCACAGGGGGCCAGAGAGTGCTGTGGGTACAGGAGGACCAGGAGAGACACCAGCTCAACTGGTGGGCTGGCTGGAGGCTCTGAGACACAACCTACCTCCCACTTTAGCTCTATTTAGCACTCCCCAAAGGGGTGGTAAAGTGGTGAGGGAGAGGGCAGGCAGGAGGGCAGGCTGCCCCAGTGCTGGGTGGGAAGTGGTTTCTCTCAGGGTGGGTGGGGTGGGGGCAGGAGGAGGTGCTGAGTCACCCCCTTCTGCCCTCAGTCCCCCTCCCCCTCCTGGCTGAGTCACTCCTCTCCGGGGCAGGCTCAGGGACAGCTGAGGACAAATGAGGTATTGAGCTATGGATCAGCTGAGCAAGGGGACTGGAACTGGTGGCTGACACAGCTTTGGGGGTAGGAGTTGGGAGGCCACAGAGACTGGGGGAAGAGGGAGAGCAGGTCCAGACATAGGCGGGGGAGGAGAGTCAGGCACAGGTAGAGGAATCAGGTAGAGCCAGACACATGGGGGTAGGGCAGGGGGTCCCAGGAACCCACAGGCATGGGCTCTGCTTCAAAATCACTGCAGAGATCATGAGGCCTGGCACCTGGAATAACCCAAGACGTGACTTGCTGTCACCTTGGTCAAGGGCTGCTCCTTCTGCTTTGGCAAAACACAAGTTCCCAGGCGACATCCACTACGTGCTGCCTGCTGGGCAAAACAGGACAGACCAGGCCTGATCTCTTGGGGCAAACAAGACCGGAACCAAGTCCTTAACCAGTAGATGCCGTGACCACAGACTGTGGCAGGGGTCGCTTTAGAGGGCAGGGTCAGGACATCTGTGGGTCAGCCACTTGCCCTCCTGAGAACACATCAGGAACCAGCAGTGATGGGGCAGGGAGGCTGGGCCAGTGGGCAGGACTTGAGGGGCCTGGGCAGGGCAGGAGCCACCCAGGGGACATGTTTGGGGTAGGCAAGGGCTTTGCCAGGTTTCGGGAGGCCGAGGCAGAGCCACCTTGCCCTGATTGTGGGCACAAACTCAGCACGGCAGGAAGACAGGCATTTGCACACAAGTCCTGTGGCAGCTCCTAGAGAGAGCTGGGACTACAACTGGGGCTACAGAGGGTATAGAAGCCAGAAGACAGGGAAAGCTGAGATAGTTAAACTAAAAGTCCGGGCCTAAGTGGGTTTGCATACCAAACAGACCACCAGGGCCTAATGAAATGCAAGGGACTAAGAACAGATCCTTAAACAAATGGGAGATCTTGGAGGAAGTAAAATACAAATGAAGCAGTCTCCATATCAAAGGCCTACCTGCAACCAGGAGCATTCCTGCTTTCAGTCCTGTACACAGAACCCCGGTAACTTCCACCATTTCCTCCTCACGGGACACCCCTCTCCGACTACCTGAGAGTTTTTTATTCTTTCTCATAAACACACACATGGCCATTCTCCACCCCTTGCTGTAGTGTCAGCTTTTCAATCTTTGTTGCTCCCAAACAAGGTCCCGACCAAGAGCTAGAGGGATCCAGTTACACTATGATGGAATGTAAACCAGCCTTTACCACCTGCCTCCTCCCTTCCTGCAGGCTGCGCATGAGACAGATCTCATGTCCCTGCCACCTGTAGCCTTCTTGGCTTGGGACCCTTGGATCCCCAAGAAAACCCTCTGCGTAGTTGGAGGCCAAAGAATACCTCCAAGTCCACCACAGTTAACCCATGAACAATGGGCCCAAATAGGGCCTTGTCCCCTGTGCTCTCCCAAATGCAGGGCAAGGCCAGGATCCCTGGCTCACAGACACAACTCAAGACAGAATTACAGCCCTGGACACGGCCCCTTCCACAGCCCAGGGGCCCCTAAAGATGGCAAAGGGACTCCTGGTTCAGCCTAACAGGTGTAGCAGTTCTGGGGTCTGCGCTGGCGCAGTGAGGCAGAGCATGTGCCAGGGACCAGCACAGCCAGCTCTGCCCCATCTCTTGAGTCTGTGGCCCCAGCCCTGGATCTGCAGGTGGCAGAGTCCAAGCCTAGCAGGAGGAATCTGCCTGGTTAAATGGGTAGAGAGGACCAGAAACCATGCCCCAGGGTGCTGTGGGCCAGTCCCTCCAGGACCCTCATCCAGGCATTCATCCCTCCCAGATTATACAGGGAACCTTCCACATGCCAGGCTGTGCTCCAGCTGTGGGGAAACCATGGGATGAGCAGGCAGATCTCTGTATAAAAGCACTACAGATACTTGTAGGGTTAACTGCCTTCTCAGTAGCTCCCTGTGGTCCAACCAGCACCACACTCCACAGCTGACCACCATGTCCTGCCTCTGGTCATGCTGACTGTCCATAGTGCCCATCTGCTCCCTTGGCCTCGGTGATCCCTCTCCTGTGCATGAGGATCCTGGGACACACTTCCTTGTCCACTGCAGCGTTCCAGGCCCAGCATGATTTAGGGAACCTTCTACACCCTGCCTGTTGTCTGTCCAGCCAGAGCCCAGCTGTTATTTCTTAAAGAGGAGCTTACAGGAGGGAAAGGGAGGACTTCAGGTGCCAGGGCCTACTTGTGGACTGCTCCAAGGACAATCTTGGACCCCTAGCAGTGGGGGTCAGACTCAAGGGCAAACATGCTCATGCTCACTTATACGAAATAAATCCACATGGAGCACTGGGTATTCAGGCAGGGCCCAAGCTACGGTCACTCATAGGTGGCCATCAGACTGACCCAGGGGGAGAAGGCGGATTCACTTGGTTACAGAGAAGATGGAAATACCAACCCCACCTGCTGGAGCACAGTAGGTGTCTGTCTCCGTGTAAAGTGAGTTCAGGGAGTGTCTAACACCCTGGGCGCTGGAAGGGGCCCCCAGAAGGCTCCTCAGCCTACATTCACCTCCCAGAGAGGACCCCCACAGACCTCATATTCCCTTACATGTCCTTCTTGAAGGGGCCCTTCTCTGAGATGACCTTCCAAAGGTCCCCTTCTCTGGCTGGGCTGAGCTCCAGAGGGCCCAGGGACAGCACTTAACTCAGCTCCCCACACCATGCCCTGTGACAAATACAAGTGACCCGTAAAGTCCCCGAGGACCAAGGCTCCGCAGAGACTGAGGCCAATCATGGGTGCTGGGGTCCTGGTCCTTTATCTGACTCCACACTCAGCATCCTTCGACGGTCGGCCCTCCACAGGTCAGTGCCATGTTATGGATGGCCAGGTCCCGGCCCCAGGGATGGGGCTCAGGGAGCCCCAGGAAGGCCAAGTGAAGCGCCGGTTCTGGGGAAATGGAGGGCGGCAGGAGGTTGAGGCCCGTCTAGACGCCCAAGGCACGTCCTGGGAGATTCACCAGAGCAGAGCAGGGGGAGCTGCGAGGGGAACAGGGCTGGGGAGCCGCCTCCAAGCAGAGACAGGTGGGGAGGCGGGACCGGAGTCGCTTCCCTCTCCCAGCGAGGCTGAGCGCGCTCGGGTCCGACGCATCACAGGAAGCTGCATTTTAGGATTCGAGGTGGGGCCTGCCTCGGACGCTCTTGAGCGCCGGGAGCCGGAGGGGCGGGGCAGGGCGGGACGCGCCTGCGCCAAGGCTTGCGAGGAGGGCGCGGCCAGGGTCGCTCCGCTCTGTCCCCGCCCTCAGCTCCGTTGTCCTTGACCCACGTGACAGCCCTGGGGCAAACAAGCTGGTCAGCTGACTCGCCCCGACTGCGCCGTCATCCCTGCTATAAGCGCGCAACCTTAGGCGCTCGACTCGGACACGGCCGCCGCCACCATGCAGTCCCCGGTCCTCTTGCTGCTCGCTCTCGGCCTGTTGGCCGGGTCCTCCACCGCGCTCATCAGGTGAGGCTCCCCGCAGCTCCCTCCCCGACCCGCCTCGCTCCGCTGGTGCCGGAATGTAAACATCTGTGCCCTGCACGACCTCTGGAGGAGGCCACCCCGCCTCAGGAGTACCTGAGCTTGGAGCGCAGGGTTCGGCCCTCCGCCCGCACCACCTGGGGTCGGCCTTGAGAGCCAAGAGAAGGCCGGAGGCTGACCAGGCCTCGGGCTTGACCCAGGTTCCCAGAGTCAGTGGGCATTCAGGAGAGTTGGGCTGGGGTGTCTGTACTCAGGGCCAGAGGAAGCGGAGAGAGGAGACAAAAGAGTAGGCCTTGAAGCCCCTTGAATCCGGGCAAGACTCTTTTCCTCTTGGGGGCCACATTGGCTAGCTTCGAACTGGAACATCGTCCTGCAGTTTTTTCAGGGCATCCTCCTATAGGCCCTGGGTGGAGAGGCCCCTGGGTACCCTAGAATCCCACAAGCCCCAGAGAAGAGGAGGTGGTGTAGGGCAGTGGTCCTGGGTGGACTAGGCCCTCCTCAGGTCTAGGGATCTGCCGCTTGTGCTAGGTGAGCCTTTGGGGGAGGCATCTGCCGTCTTCCACTCTGCTGGGCCCTGTGCCCATAGCAGGTGGGTGAGGTCATGGGGCTACAGGAACTGGGAGCTTGCTGGACAGGCTGGAGGCAGGGAGCAGAATAGGACCCAGCCTTGCCAAAGACCGTGGGCTGTAACCTGGGGGCGAGTATCCTCAATTGGAGCCATTGAAGGGTGCAGCCACAGGCCTGAGCCTGCTCTAGTAGGGCCTGCTCCAACCTCAGGCATCCCCTCCAGGGAGGGCAGAGATAACAGTGGAGAAGGGTGCTTCCTCCTGGCAGGAGAGAAAGCCAAAGAGCCCCTCACACCCAATCCTAGTTCTTATGGGACTGGCAGCACAGGTATTCCAGATCCCTGGAAGGTGTGGTCCCTCCAGGCCAGAACCTGACTCTTCCAGCCCCCATCCTGAAGGAAGAATCCTGTGTTAGAGCACTCCTTGACTTGCCAAGGAAAGCTAGCTAGCTCTAACCTTGGGCTCAGATTCCCCCCCCCCCGGGGGGGGCGATGGATGGTTCACTCAGCAATTACGAGCTCTGTGGAGCTCTCTCCAGGGACCAAGCTCAGGCTAAGGAGGCCAGCAACCCTAGGAGCTGGGGCAGGGACCTCTCTCACTGTGCTGCTTGATGATAGAGTCGGATATTTAACAGTACAGTTTCCAGCTCCCTTCCTGCACCCACAGGTCAGGCCCGGAGGCAACTTGAGTCAGGTGGAATGCTCTGAGCCAGAGTGCCAAGGCCCCTTATGGAGGACACACAGAACCCTCTGGTGCCCTGGCGGAGTCATTGAACTCCCAAGTTGTATATGGTTGTGCGCACACAGATGGAGATGGGGCTTAGGAAATGGCTCTTGAGGGGTTGCTGGGGTAGTCAGAGAGGGCATAGGATTGATGCTCAAGCCCCTCTGATGGCCAGGAGAATCCACCAGGGAGGTCAGGCAGGCAGATGTGTCATTGCAGGCCTAGAGGGGACCACCTCAGTGTGGAGTCTAATTCGAGAGCAGGTGTGGCCAGAGGACTAGGTACAGTGGATGCCACAGAGGGCTTCAGGCAGAGGTGACAGGTGCCCAGCAGCACCTTAACCAGATCCTGCTGGTCACCATCCTAGACGAGACTAGAGGTGCACAAAGAAGATGAGACCAGCAGGGGCTTCTGGAGTGACTGAGGGTGGTTGGGAAGCAGCAGAGGTGGACACACAGGCCTCCAGCTTAAATGTGGGGAACAAGGAACAGAGTCAGTGTGGGGTGCAGGGACCTTCCAGGTCTTTGGCCTGAGCCACCTAGGGGTGGTGATAGGTTGTTCTTTGGTGATTTTTTTTTTTTTTTTGGTACCGGGCATTGAACTTGGGACCTTGTGCTTGTGAGGCAGGTGGTGGCACCACTGAGCTAAATCCCCAGCCTGCTCTTTGGTGATTTGAGGGATATTGGGCCTGCAGGTTTTGTTTAGGGCAGGAGTTTGGTTTAAGCCATGCAGAGTTTGAAATTTCCAGGGATATCCAGGTGGACCTACCCTGGAGGCCGCTGGTGGCCAGCATGCTAGAGGGCTGCCCTCACCGTGCCTGCATATCCTAGGGTGGGAGGTGAAGAGAATGTGCCTGGACCCTTTCTCTGACGTGCCTCTCACCCCATCTTGACAGAATTCCCCTGCACAAGTTCAAGTCCATTCGCCGCACCATGACGGAAGTAGGAGGCTCCGTGGAAGACCTGATTGCCCATGGTCCCTTAACTAAGTACTCACCACAGTTGTCCACCAAGACCACGGGGCCAGTTCCCGAGACCCTGAAAAACTACATGGATGTGAGTTTGGATCAGGGGTGCCGTGAGGGTAGGAGCTTGGGGCGCTGGCTGTATGAATTGGTGAAAACTGCCTTACTCTGCAGCCAGGAACTTGACTGGAACACCTGTTTGGTGGGGCTGTGCTTGGCCACGCCCTTCCCTACTCAGCCCCACCCCTCCTGGCTTCCTTCTGGGAGCCTGCTGCTGCTGGGGCTGAGGGGGGGGGTTAGGGGCTGGCCTTGGTATCTTGGGGATAACTCTCCTGCATGTCTTGAGCACTGACCACCAGCTCAGAGGTATAGTGGTAACTAATCCTCAGTACTGTTCTGTGGGGCACAAAGGGGCCTCAGTTCAATCCCAGCCCCGCCCTAATCCTGCCCCAGATGCTTCAGGGTGTGGAACTTGGGCCTTTGTGCCTGCCTGGGTGTAACTGGAGCCTCTGTTTCCTGCCTGTCCTGTGGGAGGCCTGGGGTGACACTGTATGTAGTCCCATCCCCTCACCATCTTCTCCCAGTAGGCAGCCACTCTCGTGCCCACTGTCTTTGGGTTGGAAATAGGCTCTAGGGTGGAATGTTCTGGAAGCCATGTAGCAAGCTGGGCCTGGCGAGCCTATTCCAAATCTGGGGGCAGGTTCAGGGCCAAATGCTGGAATCTTTTTAGCAGCCCAAGACCCTGCTTCAAGTGAATCTCGAAAGTCCTTGGCACTATCTAGCGTGGGCTTTATGGCTGCCCTGGGCAGGGGGGTGACTGTGCTCTCTGTCCTGCTTGGCAGGAGTTCTAGCTGTGACAGGAAGCTTGAGATGCAGCATGTGACTCTGGAGGAGGTGGGGGCCGCCTGCCCTGGCGGCTACTGCCCAGTCCCAATCCCCCCAGAGCACGTGCACACACTTCTACACAGACGTGGGGGTTTGCTGAGTCACCACCCTCCCCTCCTTCTCTTGGGTCGGGAGTCTATAGCGGCGGCTCGCGGCTCCATGGGGCCAAGTGGTTAGAGGACTGGTGGAATGAGAGCCAAGGTCCTGTGTAGACAGGGGCAAGCCCCCTCCCAGGAATCTGTGGCCAAGCAAGCAGGGTCCAGCTGACCCCTGACTGCAGGAACAGGCCACCAGAATCAGGCCTGGCCTGGGGAAGAAGTGTCCCCCTCTTCAAGCCCTAGGCAGTGGCGGGGTCTACCAGGCCAGCCATTCCAGCACTTGAGCCCAGGTCAAGGGCCAGGCCTGACCTCTGGCCTCATCTTCTGAATAGTATGGTCCTTGCCTGGCCCTGCCATGCGCCAGGTGGGGGCCACAGTTCTGGGGAGAAACCATGGGTACCTGTGAGCCTGAGGACTAGGTGTGGCTGAAGCCTGTTTCTTAGGACCCCTCACTCTCCACCCCTCCTGCCAAGGCCTGCCTGGCACAGGAGGTGAAAGTGGATTCCAGGTTCCTTCCCCCTGTAGCCTGGGACAGCCAGGGGCCCCTCAGGCTGAGTGGAGAGCTGGGGTCCTTTCCTCATGTTGATGCACACTGTTCCTACCAGGCTCAGTACTACGGGGAGATCGGCATTGGAACCCCGCCACAGTGCTTCACAGTTGTCTTCGACACTGGCTCCTCCAACCTGTGGGTCCCCTCTTCCAGGTGCAATATGCTCGACATAGCCTGCTGTGAGTCTTCCCTGTTTGTCCTCCTGCTCACAGCCCCTCCTGGGTCCCCAGGGGGGAGACCAAGGGCCTACACCCTTCCAGATACCCAGCTGTGTACTGCCCTGACCCTTGCCTGCCCTTTGCACTCATCCATGCTTAGGGGCCTGTGGTCAGGGAGGCAGAAGCTCTGGCGTGGGGCCCTTAAGTAGCCGTGTCCACTCCGGTTTTCAGAATACTTGCTTTCCTTCCAGGGAGTCCAGCCTTTGTGGTATGCAGTGGCAGGGCCATCAGGGAAGTGAGACAGGCTTGGGACCTACAAGTGTCCCTGCCTTGGGAAACCTCTTGGGCAGTGTGTGCTTGGCTTCTCAACCACATCAGACTGGCTCCTCTGCCCTGCCCCAGGGCACCCCAGTCTGTGGGTGAACTTGTTTGTGCTGGCCTTGCTTCCCAGCAGGGCTGAGGACTGAGCTGGTGCAGGTCAGAGCAAGCTGTGAGCTGCTGGACCACCTGCGGATCTGAGAGCAGGGCTGGGGGTGTCACAGCCCACAGTCCAGGGATCCCTGGCATGGTAGACCACCGTCCCTGTGGTGGGTTGGGGTAGTCCACAGTGGGGTTGGTGGCAGGCTGATGTCCCTTCCTGCCCCCTTGCAGGGTTCCACCACAAGTACCACAGTGACAAGTCCAGCACCTATGTGAAGAATGGCTCGTCCTTTGACATCCATTATGGCTCGGGTAGCCTTTCTGGGTACCTGAGCCAGGACACTGTCTCGGTGAGTCCCTCGGGGCCTTTTCTGGGGCTGGAGGTGTCAGCTGTGGCCAAGGATTCACCTGCGCACCTGGAGCTGAAGGAAAGGGCATCGTGGTCCCAGGCCAACCCCAACTCTGGAGGTAGGGGTGGGCCTGCTGAATTTGAGAACCAGTAGCAGGTCACTGAGCAAGGAGGGTCTAGAGGCAGGTGTGCTAGGCAGGAGGTGCCATCTGAGTGAAGGCTGGGACAGGAAGGGCTCCAGTGCTCTGTGGGGAAGAAGATGGGAGGGGATCCTGTCACGTGCAAGGGAGAGCAAGGAGCCCCTGGGATGGAAGGGTCTGGGTTCCCTGGGAGCCTGGGGGTGATGAGCAGAGAGGCAGTACTGGGGCAGGCAAGAATGGCCACACCTTGGAGACACAGCAGCAACCATGGGAGGGTGTTGGGAGGCTTGCTCCCTCTCTGTGGTGTGGTGTGGTGTGGTGTGCAGGGTGGACCTGGCTGGGAGGATGGGATTCTGTTTTGAATGGATTGGGTTGAAAGAGCTGGCAGAGTGTCCAGGGCCAGGCCTGAGGGGGCATATGGGGTAGGGGTGCTGGGGATAGAGTGGGTGTCTGCATCTGGCCGAGGGATCCAGGAGGCTTGGAAAGGGTGTGATGTGCAAGATGCTAGAGGAGAGGCATCTAGTGAGAAGTACAGAGGGGAGGGCCACCAGGGGACAGCCATCAGGCCTCCTTCGGGTGGAGGGTCTTGCAAGGAAAGGCTGGGAGGCCATGGACTGCACTTCTGAGAAGTAGTATTGGGCAAGGCCACAGGTCTAGGCGGTGGGCAAGCAGAGGGTGCCATCTCAGGATGGGAAGGGAAGGGGCAGATGTCTTAGCTGGGCCTGCTGCTTGGGGTCCAAGGTATAGCCAGTATCTTGCGTGTCGGGCCCCTGTCCCATGGATGGCTGTGCCTTGTGCCTGTGCTGCCGAACTGGAGCACGCAGGGCTCTCCCCCCACATACCCGGAGATCTGTCTGTAGCATTTCCTTGGGGCTCTCTTCTCTGGGGCCCCCGTCTGAATAGGATGTTGCCTAACCCACTCTCTCTTTTGTCAGCCCCACGCAGCCATCCCACATCCTGTTCTGCCCACTGTCTCTCTGCAGCCTCACCTTGGGGAGCTGTCTGGTTCCCTAGCCTCTTGGGTTACAGGCTCAGGATCTTGTCCCGAGCTCAAGGGTAGGAGCAAGACTAGGCTGGTTGGCAGAGGTCAGAGGCTACCACTCATGCTCTCTCTGCCTGCCTGGCTGTCCTGTGTAAGATGAGGGATGTCGCTGAGCTAGGCTTCCTAACTGGCCACCTGTGCCCAAAGTGGGATTCACACAGTCAGCACCCATGCCCTGCTGACCCCTGCCCTGGCCCACAGGTACCCTGTCAATCAGCTGAGTCTAACCCCAGAAACCTCAGAGTGGAGAAGCAGACCTTTGGGGAGGCCACCAAGCAACCAGGCATCACCTTCATTGCAGCCAAATTTGATGGCATCCTGGGCATGGCTTACCCCCGCATCTCAGTCAACAATGTGCTGCCGGTCTTTGACAACCTGATGAGTCAGAAGCTGGTGGACAAGAATGTCTTCTCCTTCTACTTGAACAGGTGGGCTTGGAGAGAGAGTGCGAAAGTCCCCATTCCCCCAGCTCTCCTGGGCTCAGCTTTGCTGAAACCTAGGGTGGGGCTTGGAGCCTGTGCCTGCCCTCTGGGCTCATGGTATCTGGAGAGACAGAAGTGAACCAGTCTCTTAAGGATAACCAAGCAGCCTCCTGAGAATGCTGCGTCATGTCCGGGTCTATAGCTGGGAAGGGCTTGGGCAGGGCCCAGTTCCCAGGGTCCAGGCTGCCATGGCCTCTATTCCTGTGGGGACTGGACCTGTTTGGGGTTGTGACATTTCCTGGCTCAGTCTGCCTCACACTTCCTAGGTCAGGTCTGGGGAGGACAGATGTGGTCCTGGCCAGGGCTGCTAGTGGCCATGAGAGGACATAGTTCTGAGCCCTGATCCATGACAGGGCCTCCTAGGGAGGTGGCCCTGGGTTGGCTTCAAGAGCACACTCAGAATCTTAGTCTCCATGTGGAGTGAAAGCTTCCAGGGCTTTTCCCAAAGATGCCATGGCCTAAAGGGAACACAGGAATCCTTCCTCCCAATGAGATGAGGGGATCCACCTGCAGCTGCTGCCTAGCATGGAGACCCCTGGTCAGGGGACCTTACAGGGGTCCTCCATTTCTCTCTTCATGCTGGTGCTGTGTCCCGAGCAGGAGCTGCAGATAGGAGGGGGTAGTTGGGTGTCAGGTACCCCACTGCCTGGGCGCTGCCTCCCAGGTGAGCAGGGAGTCAGCAGGTGGCCTTCCAGCCCAAGGCATTGCCAGCCACTGTCCTGCATACAGCCTTTCCAGGGGTGCCTTAGCCAGGGTTACCTTTCTCGTCCCCATTTGGCTCTTAGGTCTCTGGGCCTCCTGGCTCCTGACCCCAAGCCCTGGGGGCCCTTCTGGCACAATTCCTATCCAGAGCATTTTGCATTTGTTTATCCCCGTCCTAGGCTCAGCATCAATTCTTTTGTCCCTTGCTGGGTCAGTGACTGCTTCTTAGCAGCAGGACTCTGGGTAGAGCTGCCAGCTGGAGGCTGGGGTGCAGGTGGAGAGCTGGGGTTATTTCCCTGGGTTACCACTAGGTGCAAGGGAGGAGGTGAGATGAAGAGGCAAGAGAGGCCCTGGGGCACGACCTCAAAGCTGAGACCCTCCTGTGTGACTACCAGAGGCACTGGTCTGGGGCCCTGACTGCTTACTGGGCGGGGGCAGGAGTGGAGTCAGGCGAGGGGCCCAGGCTTCAAAAGAGGAGGCTCGTGGGCGGAAGAGAGGAGGGACGAGGTGCCAGTCAGGTTTTTCTACACCTGTGATTTCAAAAGGGATGAGAGGAGGTCAGGGCTGGAGGCAGGACGAGCCTCGGGTGGGAGGACTGGGCTTCCGAGTGCAGGCACGGGGCAGGAGGAGGGTGGCAGGTACAGTCGGGGACGTGCCAGGAAGACAGCAGAAAATCCTGAGAGAGCATACTAAAGCTCAGGTTTTCCCGTTGACTTTTTTTTTTAAGTCTGCAGCATTATGGCTACAGACCACAGAAAGCTGGAAGGAAGTGGCCCACATTCCACTCAAGGGCACCTTGGCTTGCTGTGTCTAAGGGACTAGACATGGGGCGTCTAAGAGACTGGACATGGGGAGAAGGTGAGAGAAACAGATGTAGAGGAGCTCGCAAGGCTGTGGCTGTAGGTTGTTTCTGGAGCAAGTACAAAGGCCCTAGAGCAGGAACAAGCCACCTCCTCAGTTTCTCAGAGTTGTGCCCTCCCTGGCCTCCCGACACCTCCCTGTCTGTCTTGCAGTCTTGGTCTGACCTTCTGTGGTTAAGTGCCAGGTCCTCAGAGCTACAGCCAGCTCTCCTGCTGGGAGCAGGCTACATAGGGTGTGGGATCGAATTCCCTCCCCAGGAAGGAGGAGGCTGCTGCTTCTCTCCCTGGGTGTTCCTCCGGAAGCCCATCTTCTGCTGTTGTCCTGGCCCACCCAGTCCTCTGATGCCTGCTCAGGGGCCACCTGTGTGGGGTGAGAGATGCTGACTGCTTCCTGCCTTCTCCTCCAGGGACCCGAGTGCGCAGCCTGGCGGGGAGCTTATGCTGGGTGGCATTGACAGCAAGTACTACAAGGGCTCCTTCACCTACCTCAACGTCACCCGCAAGGCCTACTGGCAGGTCCACATGGACCAGTGAGTTGGGATACTTCTGGGGCAGGGGTGGCACATGGGGTCCTTGGGGTGGTGTGGCCAGCCCCTCCCTTCCCCTACTTAGGCTACAGCGCCTGCTGGCCCATGGCTTCAGGATTTAGCAGGGTCCATAGCTGGGACCAGGACATCCCCCTACACCCCCTGTCACCCCAAGTTCCTCTCTGCCCCAGGCTAAGTGCATGAACTTAGGCCCTCCCATCCCCAGGTTGGAGGTGGGCAGCGGGCTGAACTTGTGCAAGGGGGGCTGTGAGGCCATCGTGGACACTGGCACCTCCCTCCTGGTGGGCCCCGTGGACGAAGTGAAGGAGCTGCAGAAGGCCATCGGGGCCATACCGCTGATCCAGGGCGAGGTGAGCGTGGCAGGAGGGCTTGTGAACCAGTGGGCAGCAGACGGGTGCTGAGGCTGCATCCTAACACTCCTCTCTTCTTGCAGTATATGGTCCCCTGTGAGAAGGTGTCCAGCCTGCCCTCAGTCACCCTGAAGCTTGGAGGCAGCGCCTACCCCCTGAGCCCAGAGGACTACGTTCTGAAGGTGAGTGGGCACGGGCAGTGCTGCTGGGTGACGCCAGTTGGGCAGGCCTTGTGGTGACTACCGTGATCATGCAGGTGTCGCAAGCCGGGAGGACTATATGCCTGAGCGGCTTCATGGGCATGGACATCCCACCGCCCACCGGGCCTCTCTGGATCCTGGGTGATGTCTTTATTGGCCGCTACTACACCGTCTTCGACCGAGACAACAACAGGGTGGGCTTCGCCCAGGCCGCCAAGCTCTAGCTTACTTCTGTCCAGCGGCGGAGAAATAGCCCACAGTCCAGTAGGAGGCTGCCCACCCCCAGCCCTCCAGCCCCTGCCCCACTCACACACACTTACACACTTGCCATGTGACTCTGGAGGCCCTGGGCTCCTCACTGTTCTGTGGTTTTCCCTCTTGGACTCAAATACTGCCGGTCTGTTTGAGGATGGTGGAGACTGGTCCAGTGCATAAATCTGTGTCATTCACTTGGAAGACCAAGCATGGGCTTGGTGGCTGCCCAGTTTGTGCATCCCAGGAGCCCCTGCCCTGCAACAGACTATCTTCCTCTGGAAACTGGGCCACCCGAGGTCCTTCCGCCCAGCCTGGGCCACACCAGGCTCTGCCACTTACACCCATCCTCACGCCCCAGCCACTGCAGAGGCCTGAAGGGTCAGAAGGAGCATGTGGACTAAGGCCGGCCGAAGGGGCTGGAGGGTCATCCTGGGGTGTGATCTGCCTGCAGTGGGGCAGTACAGACCTTCCCCTGTGGCTGACCTCTGCTGCCCTCCCCCCGGGGACTGAGAACCACAGTGATATGAAAATACAGTTGTTTGAGCCTCTGTTTCTGTGTCCATGTTCTTTGCGCTGCGCTGAGTGGAAGAGCTGACTGAAGCCCAGGCAAGGGAGGCCCCTGGGGTGCCCAAGCCTGGCTCTTGGGGCTGGGCTTGGGACGCCAAGGCTGAGGCTTGCCATTCTGTCTTGTGGGCAGTATGTGGCTGGCAAAAACTGGCTTGTTCTGAGGCCTAGAACAGTGACCAGAGGACATGGCCTTGGCCTGAGGCCGGGGTGGGGGTAGGGCCTCGTACATTTTTGTTCTGGTATGAGTCCCTACCCTAAGACATAAAGGATTCACAGGGAGGTGTGGTCTAGGCTGGCATCTGCTATGCTTTTCCAGAGTATTCCTGCCTCGAAGAAACAGAACAGTAATGGGTCCCGGGCAGGTCCTCCACACTCAACTGGGGCCCTGGAGGCCTTTGCACAGGCTGGGTGGTATGTGCAACCTCCCTCCTAACTGGGTTTCCTCCAATTCTGGGAGCGGCCTGGGCCTGTGTGAGCCAACCCAGTGTTAGAACAGATCTGCCTGGGGACCAGAGTCAGAACCCCCAGGTTGCAGCTGCTACAGACACAAGCACAGGCTGGCTCTTGAGTGGTCTTTGTTGGGAGGAAGGAGGGCAGGAGCACATGTCCACATGCAGCAGAGGGAGCAGCTAACAGGGTTTTAAGGGCTGAGTAGTGCGGTGGACACTTGGTGGCAGGCCTAGAGATTCTCTGGTCCCGACCCCAGCAGGTACAGGAAATAGGGTTAATGTGACCTTAGTGATCCTGTCATTTTGGCACCCTCAGCCTGCTGGATGAAGGCTGTTTCCCAATGTGCTCTGAGGCCTACACCCCAGGGCTAAGCCCCAGCAGGCACTTTCTCTGCAGGGCATTCACCCAGAGTTGCCAGGATCCCAGTACACATGTGCCCAGTGTTCTCTGCGCCTGAAATACAAGTAGGGAGCTGGAGAGAGCTCTGCAGGGCCTGGCAGGATTTCTGAAGAGACCGGTGTCATCAGACACTCTGCACCAAGGCCAAAAGGAGGAAGCTCCTCCCCTCCCCTGCCCAAGCACAGGGCTGCAGGTGCCCAAGGAGTAGGGCTCCAGCCAGCCAGTTAGGATTCTTAGGACCCTGGAGTCTGACTGAGGTTCAAATCCAGCCTCAGGTTTTCTGGCTGGGTGACCTACCCCAAGCCTCCCTCCCTGGCTCTAGGATGTAGCAAATAACAGGCCCCACTGCATGACTGGCTACGGGGCCCCTCATGGCTGAACACTGGCCCTGCTCTGCAGCATCTGTCTCCCTCTAGGTGGGAGATTTCTGGCCTGGAGCTTCTCCAGGAGGTGCCTAACCGAGGCTAGCCACTTCATCCACCATCTCAGAGTGGGGACTTCTGCGGGTGCAGGGAGAGGACCCGGAATGCCTTTGCCAGTGACCTTGAGCAGCCCTGCCTTGAGGCCCAGGCATCTCTCTTGCTCCCTGAGATGTGCACTAGGCCACCCTGGCTTTGCTGCTGTTTCCCCAGGCAGCACCAGTTAGGGCTGTGTGGCAGGGAGGCCCTTGAGGGGCTGCCTGTCCTGAGAAGACAAGATGGCATAACATGCAGCACATGAAAGTACCAGAGGGCACCTAAGTTGGGCCCAGCCCTCAGCACATCTGGATGCTGGGTGTGGGTTCCCCTGTGCCAGGCCCTTGGGAAAGGGAAGGTAGCATTAGGTAAAGGCAAATAGCCTGGTTCCCTACCACCCACGGCCCTCTGGGCCTGTGCACAAAGGCTAGGCTCCATGAAGGGAGCAGCCAGAACTTCCAAAAAGGGAGGGAGGGCTCCTTGAGTCTAGGAATTCTTACCACTCAGGGTGTTATCAACATCATTTAAGATTACTTCAAACTGTGGTTTCCTGACATGCCAAGCTGAGGCTGAGCCAGGGGGTCAGACTGGGGATGGAGGCGGGGCCTGCACTGGGAGGGGAGGGACTTTAGAGGGGGCAGGGCTTCTCCTGGTACAAGGGTTCAGAGAAGGGCTCTGGGCTCAGAGACCACTGAGGTTCCAGAGAGAAAGGGAACAGAGGGTCAGGGCCTGGTGAGCACTCACTCAGGAATGGGTTCCTGAGGGGCTGGGAGAAGGGAAAGCGGGAGGGTTCTGGAGAGGCTAGAGATAGACCAAGAGGGCTACAGAAGAAGGTTTCACGGGAGAAAGATGGGGGCTTGGAAAGGAGGTCAGGCTGGAGAGAGAGGAGGGCATCAGCATAGCTTCAGGGGTCCTAGGAGCATGGTCTGGGCCCAGCCGGGCCAGCAGACCAGTGAACATGCCCTAACTCAGAACCAGCAATTGTACGGTGTAGTGCAGGGCTTGAGGGAGCGAGGGCTGGGGTTCTTTCCAGGAGAGGGGGGCTCATCAGAACTTTTCTGGAGCTGGGAGATCAGTTGAGGATAAGTGTTCAAGAGAGAATAAGAATGTGTGTTCGGGGGGATTCCAGCTGAGAGGTTGGCATTGGTTAGGGGAAGTGAGGTGTGGGACAGAGGACCCCCAGGACTGAGGCACAGGTGGGATGGAGGCTCACAGAGAGGCCCTGGCAGCTACGTGGACTGGGCTCCATGGTTACCAGTGTTTGGGGGGGGGGTGTCACAGTAAAGGACCAGGGGCCAGGGCTTTGGAGCAGGACATTGGCTGCAAGGACAGGGAGGAGGTGACTGTGCACCTGTGCAGGGACAGGCTGATTTGTGAAGGGCCACAGGCTCCAAGACCAACTGGGTTAGTGAACTGAATTAGAGTGGGTTAGATACGGTGGGGCTCAGACTCACGGAGAGGTAGGAGCTCTAACAGGACTGGGCTGGGGAGGGGGGACGCTCTGAAGATTAGTGAAGGTCCTGGACTTGGTAGACTCAGCAGCGAAGGGATTGAAGAGTGGCCTTAGGGGCTGGGCACTTGTAGGGAAGGACTATGCAAAAATGGGGATTTGATAAAGTGCGCACCACTCTGGAACTGGGGTGGAGGAGTTCGGGAACTCCAGAGGGTCTTGGTTAGGGAGAGGGACCATAGAGGGACAGGAGCTGAGCTAGGGGGCAGGCTTGGCTGGGAGTGGGGTCAGGACAGGACATAGAGAGGGGACAGGCTCAGGGGGCTCGATGCCCCGGTGGGGGCTTTGAGAGGCTCAGACAGCACCAGGTCTGGGATGTGAGGGGCCTCCCTGGACCGGCGCGGGCAGAGTGACGTTTCCACTGCACCGGGACTGGGGTCTCACAGGCAGGAGCAGGGACTCTGCCCGAGAGAAGAAACGGCAGGTGGGACTCAACAGGCCCAGAGGAGGCGGGGCGGGAGAGGGGCGCTGAAGACAGCAGGTCCCGGAAAGGGAGCAGAGCCAGAGGGAGGCTGTCACTCCTGGAGACGGGGGTGGGGGCAGCTCGGAGACCCGCTCCCAACGGGGCAGTCCGCGGGAGAATGGGAGCAGGGTGGGCTGGGCTGACAGCTAGGTGGTCTGGGGAGATGGTGGGGCCGCGGCGCTTGGGTGGCGGAGGTCCCATGCCTGCTCCGCCTGCGACTCCCCGGGGTCGCGGCTTCCGGCTGGCGGGGGGCGGGGGGGGGGCGCCCTCACGGCGGAGGAGGCGGAGGTGTCTGCACCGCAGCCGCCGCCGCCGCCGTGAGTCAGGCTCTGGCTGCAGCCGCGGCCGGCCTGGCGCTGCGGAGCGGGCGCGGGCAACGGGGGAGGCAGCGGCACCGAGAGCCCCGTGCGCTCCCCGCCTCCAAGGTTGGGCCGCCGGGACGCGGATCGGCGGACAGACCGCGGCCCAGGAAGGCAAAAGGACGCGCGCACAGAGGCGCAGGGATCTGACCCGCCCGAGGCAGAGTCTCCCGTAGGTGAGGACGCACCGTCCCGGCGGCTGCAGCAGACCCGGTGCCGGCGGGGGTCGGCGGGGGTCGGCGGGGGTAGGCGGGGGTCTGCGGAGCCAGAGCCCAGACTCCTGTGCGCCGCACGCAGAGTGGCGCGGGGCGCGGGTGCCTGGGTGCCTCTTTGGAGAAGTGTTCGTTTCGGAGTCATTGTGCGTCTGTTTGTGGCACGGGGGTGGGTGACTTCATATTCGAGAGTGCACGCTTGGGGTCCCAGGGACCGATTTCGGTGGGGGTTGGGGGTGGGGACTATAAGCGCGAGTTTGGTGCCGGGCACTTGTGTTTATCCTCCCTCTGGCGACTGTGCGGAGCCTGCGTCGCTGTCCAGGCTGTGTGTCCAGGCTGCGTGGCACAGTTGTTTACCTGGCGGTGTCAGCCCGGGTGTGCCAGGGTTGGAGGGCCTGGCGGGTGGTGCTTATATTTGTTGTCTGCCCGCCTGTGGGCAGGGGCTTCAGAAGCTGCCCATCCTGCCAGGCAGCACCTGGGGAGTGTATTTGTAGGTTTTCGTGCTGGAGTGTTTGGGGTGCCGGGGAGCTCTGAATGTTGCAACAGTGTAGGAGTGCTGTTTGGGGTGCGTTTGACATGCTGTTGTGTGTGTCAGTGGTTGAGTGTTTGTGCGCAGATGGCAAAGTGATGAAAAGCCGAGATGTGGCTGCCAAGGCTGCGGAGGGCTTTGGCATCGGCAGTAGCCGGTGGGTGGGGGAGGCAGGTGGTAGGCAGCAGCTGGCTGCCTCTCAGGGATCTCTGTCCCCGCTGGGGGCTGTGGATGGGGCTTCCGGGGGGGGGGTGCTGCGGGCCTTGAGGCTGGGTACTGAAGGACAGGTAGGGCCCAGCTTCTTCTCTTCCTCTCTCCAGGCCCAGGGCCCAGGCCAGTGCCCAGCCCCGCTGGGAGCCCCGGCCAGCACCACGGACGGCGCCCAGGAAGCCCGCGTCCCCCTGGACGGGGCCTTCTGGATCCCGAGGCCCCCAGCAGGTTCGCCCAAGGGCTGCTTTGCCTGCGTGTCCAAGCCCCCTGCCTTGCAGGCTCCAGCGGCCCCTGCCCCTGAGCCCTCGGCCTCACCCCCCATGGCTCCCACCTTATTCCCCATGGAGTCCAAGGGCAGCAAGACCGACAGTGTGCGGGCGGCTGGTGCCCCCCAGGCCTGCAAGCACTTAGCGGAGAAGAAGACCATGACAAACCCTACGGCAGTCATCGAGGTCTACCCAGACACCACCGAGGTGAACGACTACTACCTGTGGTCCATCTTCAACTTCGTCTACCTCAACTTCTGCTGCCTGGGCTTTATCGCGTTGGCCTACTCCCTCAAAGTGAGCAGGGGTGGCAGAGGAGGGGGTTACAGGGGGCAGGTGCTGGCAGGTTGAGCCCTGGCTGTGTTGCCCTGGCCCTCCCTCCCAGGGGAGCCCAGAGCCAAGCAGATACAATCAAGTGGCAAGAGGTACAAGAACCACAGAGGTTCTCTGTTGGTGGGTCCTGTCCGGAGAGGAGGTGTTGGCTAGGTCTGTGCCAGCAGCAAGAGGCTGCCCTTCCCCCTCCTGAGCTGAAAAAGCTTCTTGATGGGGCTTGGGTCCAGCAGGGTCAGCTCGGCACAGCCAGCTTAGCCAATCCTCTGGTCAGGGCCTGTGGGAATTTGACCTGTCATGTGTGAATTCAACCCATCTGCCAGCTACCCTAGGCAAATGGGGATAGAGCTGGCATGGAACTGAAGAGGGCTTGGGGTTCTATGTCTGTTCAGAGAGGAGGGGTGAGGTCAGAACCCTTGCAGACTCCCTTACCCAGAAACCTGATGCCAGGCACTATCCACACCCAGCCTGGCACTTGGTGGGAGGCCTAGTGACTGGAGCAGCCTGGAGCAAGAATGGGGAAGCCTGCGTCAACACTCCCCTCTCACACTCCTCACTCAGAGTGGGCATAATTTCTAGAGCCCCTGGGAATTAAGAGGAATTGGTTTGGAGCAGAGCAGAGTGGCAGGTAATGGAGCCACATCCCCCTGAGGGCAAAGCGAGAGAAAGGACCACAACTACGAGGGAGATGATAATAGATACATTTGGATGGAGCAGCTCCTGTGTCCCATGTAAGGACTGAGCAGCTCTGGACTGTTGGAGCCCACCAACAGGATGTGGAGAGACAGGGCTGAGGCCCTCCACCCACCCTCCCACTCAAGAAGGAAGGGAAGGAGGGAAGGAGGGAAGGAAGGAGGGAGGCAGAGAGAGAGGATAGATGGATGGATGGATGGATGGATGGATGGATAAAAAGGGAGGACTTGGCTCACATTTAGCCAGGTCATTCCTTCCCAAGCCCAGAATTGAATGGCCCAAGCCAGATGCAGTCCACTGACTGAAGCTGCCCAGGGTGGTGAGGGTGGCAGAAGCCTGGGGGAGAGCGAGGGCTGCAGGGAGAGGAGAGCTCAGGCCAGGTTGACCCAGGAGGAAGGAAGGACACTGGGACAGCTCCCTCTGATCGTCTTTGAGTGTGAGCCCCACCTTGCCCTGCACCACATGCTGGCCACCTGGCTTCTGTTCTCCTCCTGACTCAGCCCCAGTGCCACCATCCACACTGTCACTTACACCTTCATCTTCAGGCCTGTGTACCTAGCTCTGGCTCCACTATTTGGGACCTGTATGTGTGTATATGCATGTGTGATCATGTCTGTGTGAGTGTGTGATTGCATGTGCATGTGCATGCATGCATGTACATCTGACTCACTATGTATATGCAAATGAATGTGTTCCTATGAGTTAATGTGAGTATATTGCATGGTGTGCATGTAAGTATATGGTTTGTGCTTATGTAGGTGTGAGTATAGACATGTGAGTATGTGGAGAAGCATGAGTATAAATTCCATGTATGTGTGTGTGCATGTGTGTGAGTGATATGCATGTGTGCATGATTGTATGTACAAATATCTGTGCATGTGTGAGGAGCACAAGTACAATTACGTGTGTGGGTTTACACTTGTGCATACATGTTTGTGTGCATGTGTGTGAGTGAATGCATGTGTTTGAGTGTGCTTGCAAATGCCAGTGTAGGTATATGTGAGTGTGAATGTGGGGGAAGTACACATACATGAGTGTGTACCTGTTCTAGGGCAGCAAGTGAAAGTCCTTGGGATCTGGTGCTGGTCCTCAGCTCAGCTCTACTCCACTCCCTAGACCAGTGCCAAGCAGAGGGTGTGCTTCCTGGGGCAGCTGTGGCTACAGCTGGTAGAGCTCAGCCTCCCTGGTGCCCTCTTGCCCTGCACTGCCGGTGGCCTGTGGACATGGTCTGCTGCCTAGACTCCTGTCCAGAAGCCATCCCCTCCTCCCCTGACTCAGCCTGTGCTGGCTGGCTTCTGGCATGGGGCAATCCCATCTGGTGTGGGTTGTAGGTAGGTCAGGCATCTCTGGGTTTGTGCTGCAGTGGGGGTGGCATGAAGTTGGCACTTTGGGGTCAAGGAGGGCTCACACACTGCCCTCTGGGGCTACCCCTTCCTCGGAGGCAGGGAGAGCGAAGGCTCCGGGGCTTCCCCACGGGTGTGGTTTAAGGTGAGCTGCCTGCCTCCAGACAGAGGGGAGCACAGAGCAGCTGGTTCTGGTCCTCAGCCTGGGAATTGTCCATCGGCCCATCAGCTGCATATCTCCTGACCTGCTGCACTCGTACTGTGTGCAGCTTGTCATGGGCACTTCCAAGGGCAGAGGCAGAAGCTGGACATGGGCTCAGGAAGTTTTGGCTGGAATCCCAGCTGTAGAAATGCAGCCACCTCACCTACCTCACTGAACCCCTGCTCCCTCATATGATCACAAAACATAGAAACAAAGCACCATTCAAGCTAGCACACATGAACAAGGCAGGGGCTGGCAAGTAGCAGATGTGAAATAAATGCTGTATCCTTGCCTTCCCCTGTCTGTCCATCTACCCATCAGCCACCACCCATCCCTCTACCAGCTGGGCAAGCACAGCTCCATGCAGACTAGCCCTGCATCGCAGATTGGAGCCTTACTTTGCTTAGCCCTTTGGGAAGGGCAAGATACGAAAATCAGTTCTCCATTCATGCCTTGTCTACACATTGCCTCGTAATGACCATGGCTCTCCCTTGTTAGCTTCATAGTGTCTAGACTTTCATCCTGTTGTTCAAGACACCTCAGAACTCCTTTGCATCCCTCTTCCTGGCCTCACCAGACGCGCCCCTGCCTGTGTCATTCTGGAAGCACCCTAAGTGATGTTTGCACCTGGGTTTGCACATACTCTTCCTGCAGCTAGGAGAATTTGTGAGGTGCAGGTCTCTCTTCTGCACAACCCCCAGGACAACCCTGCCCTGGCCATATCTGCCCACCCTCACTCCAACCATCCCTTCATCTTAATGTTGTCAGGGCTGGTTAACATAGGAGTCAAAGAATGTTAGTTGAATGGGTAGATGGACAGAGGACATGTAGCACCAGAGAATAAATGTCCCAGTGCTTCAGAAAAAGAATGCATCACTTCGAGTTTGGGGATAGGTAAGGCTCAGGGGCAGGAGGCCTCTGGGAGAAGGCTGCATTTTCACTGGGCCTTAAAGGGAAGGTGAGGGGAAAGGTATTCCAGAGAGAATGACACGGATGTTGGGGCTTTGGGGGTCAGGAAGACCCCCAGGGAGCAGCAGAAGATAGTCCTAGGTAGGCAGAGAGAAGCCCTGGGGTGAAGGATCTGGATTCTACCGTGTAGAAGACTGAAGAGGAAATGTGATCAGTGCTGTAACATCTGCAGCAGTGTGGAGGAAGGGGACAAGGAAATGCTAAAGGCAGAGTTAGGTTCCCAGTGTGGAGGTCCAGGTGGGATAACATGTGGCCTGAGCTAAGGAAAAGATGGAGGACAGTAGATGCAGCCAGGAGGTAGCAGCTACTTAATTTGAGCCCAGGAGGCCCGGACACTCCCCAGTGACAAGAGAAATCAGATGGAATAGATTTGGAGGGAGGATGGTCTGGATATTTGTATGTATATATCTTCCACACCTTCTTTTCTGAGTAGCAACATCATCCATCCACTCACCCATCCACCCACCATCCCACCTTCTATGGTCATGTGACGTTTCAGTCAATAGCAGACCACACGTACCATGGCCGTCCTATTAAGATTACATCAGCTAGTGATGAGATAGCCATTTTAGTTTGTGTGAGTGGACTCTGTAATGTTAGCACAATGATGAAGTCATCTACTGATGCATTTCTCAGAATATATCCCTGTCACCAAGTGACATATGACTGTGCATCAATCCCTCCTCCTTCATTCCCTTCAATCCTCCAAATAGCCTCCTATCTCTCTATTTGCCCATTCATGCTTCTTCCTCCTCCTTCTCTCCTGTTCTACCCCTACCTACCTTGTACATAAATCCACTGAACTATTCCTTTACATCATTCTCTCAAAGACTTTCCTACTTTCCTTATCAGCCCTCCTTGTCAATGTGTTCGATCATCCACCCAGCTTGGGCCTAATGCCTAGATTGTTCTACTTCAAGTCATCCCTCTCCATCCTTCCCATTGCCCCTCTGTCCGAGCCACACTTGTCCATCCAGCTATCCAGCCACCCAGCCATCCACCAAGTGCTTTTCTTACCTTTCAGCTCTTCCCATCCATTAATGTAATCAATCCATTATCATTTTTCTATTTTCCTTCTCTTCTCATCTATCCATTTATCCAACTATTCATGCATCCATGTAGCTACATTATTTTTCCCTCTTCTTTTTCCCCTCACTTCCATTTGCTGAATTCATTAATTTATAATACATCCATCCAGCCTCACTGTATCCTTGATTTCCTTCATTTGTCCAGCTACTTGTTCACACACCCGTTTTTTCATCATGGAGCCATCCATATGTTTGTGTCTTTCCATCATGTACCTACTTCCCTTCCCTCCCACTCTCCCTCCTGGTCTTCCTTCTCCCATCTCTCCTTGAATACCACCTATCAACGTACAAATCATTCACCTGTATCCAGCACACCCACCCTCTATTGATCTTTTCATAATCTATTCTTCCCCTTTCTGTTTTTCCTTTCTCACAGTTACTTTCACACCAATGATCATTCACCCAACCAGCCAACCATTTTTCTATCTTCCCTCCCTCCTTCTGTCCATCCCTTTCACCTGTGTTTTCCACATAGCCATACACCCTGTGGATCATGGTGACTCTGGCTCAGAGCATATGATAAGAGACCTGGACATACTGTTAACTAGCTGTGAGGCCTTAAATAGGTAACCATGTCTATGCTTCCTTATATAGTCCCTACTTCAAGGTGTTGTTGAGAGAAGTTAGTATATGTAATGCCATCAGTACAGTACCTGGCTATAATAATTTCTT